TACACGGTACCTCGGCAACCCAGTTGATATCTTCCTTCTAAAGATCATAGAAAGTGTTTTTCTACAATTAAATACTTTCCTCCTCCTCCATGCCCTTGTCAGCGGTGAGAATGACAACTCTTACTGCCTTTTGCGAGAATTATGCTGTACGCTTTCCTGATAAAAGTAAAGAAACTAAATCCGTACGGAGGAAAGTTCCTTTTCTGTCTTATTGCCATAGAGACAGGCCTGTGAACGGGCCATATCATCGCGCCATTTTTAAAGGCAATGAACACGCAGGACGTCAGAGCAACACCATCTTGAATACGATCTCGATCTGAACGAATTTTAGTCGGCTGTCTTCTATTTGTAATTGTGTGAGACAGTTTCTCCTTCAAATTATGATAGCCAAAGCTGTGATGAAAGTGGGGGCATCTCTCTTTTCTGTGCCACACCAAAAGGTTTTGATAGCGATATTATTATTAATGACCGTCCATTTGCTTATCCAGATTGTGGGTTTCGAGTGGGTATGAGGTCGACGGAAGTGATAAAGTCTTGGTAATTACAAACCCAATTATTTCTACTCTGATTCTATACGTTTGAAGGAATCTTCCACATTCTTTTGGTCTCCTTCGCCAACTACAAGACACAAGAAACATACTCGTATTACGTTTCTGTCTCTTTTCCTCTTTCTCTCGCCCTCGTCTCATTCCATATGACGAAAGAATACATAATAATTATAATAGATTTTTACGTACGATAGCTAAGGGACTGAGTATTTTATGAAATAAGTAAAATACAGCTGAAATTTCAATTTTTTTATTTTTATTTTTTATTTTTTATCTGAATATACACAGAGACAGGCAGAGCTGTAGGTTTAGAATGTGTTAAGTGGTGAAAGATGTATATTCTTGGCATCGTAACATTCTCAAGTATATAGCATATAATATATAACATGTGAACACATAAAACAAACAAATATACATAAAAAATGACACTATACATGCTTGTACATACTGTATAAGAAGTGTGCAGCAAATAACTTGACAATATAAGTTGAATTTGATAAATACAAGTTTCAGGCTAAAAAAATGAAAAGACTGCACTAAATAAGAGCTTAAAAGACACCATAGTCTGAGGCGTAGTCCACCTTCCGGATGGCTGTTTGAGGAATTTAATATTCTGGATGGATGCAATTATCCTGTTAATTAGCAATAATGACTTTGTAAATGCTAAAGTAATAAGTTGAATCGTGATATGTGTGCCGACCTCAATGTGAAGCCCATCAAGATGTGACTACCTCTGTCAGTAAATATCATCCACTGTCATGTTAAATAACTCATGCTATTATACTGGAGAGGCGGCTAATGTGCATCCTTACTCTGTGTGTGAGTATCTGCCTGTCAGAGCTTGTGTTTGAATTTGTGGATTTAGTGGCCATTAGAGAAAGAAATTAGTCAGTCAAGCATATCAATATAATGAAACGATGAAATATAATGCATACAATAATGTCAACATCTCAGATATCTGGTTGGGGACATAGCACTTGAACAACTTCATGGGTTTGAGCCTTGTACTGTTTGTCATGGATAAACAAGTGATTACATTACTTTCAGGCAACCCTTTATCTTTATATTACTACAATAACTGTGTGCGGTAGCTTCAATAATATGCAGAATGGGCCTGAAATTACTGGTTATTATTTCATCATTACAACCTGTATGAATATACAAAACAAGAATGGCCATACACACTTAAAAAATATATATATTCCTAGAATAAGCCTATATTACATTACATTACATTACAGGTCATTTAGCAGACGCTTTTATCCAAAGCGACGTACATTACACTTTTAACCCATGGCTTTTTCACATTTTTGCCCAGGGAGCAATTAGGGGTTAGGTGTCTTGCTCAGGGACACTTCGACATGGAACATGGGGCAGCCTGGAATCAAACCACCAACCTTGTGCTTCCCAGCACACCTTCTCTAACCCCTGCGCCACGACGACCCCTGTATAATCCCCTATATTAATCACAGTTATGGAAGACTGTAGTTGAGACCCTTGTTGGATTATGAAACTGGGCCGGATATGAACATATGTACACAATAGTGCAACTAATACAATAGACGTACAATTTCTGAGGTAGGTTTTGTTAAGATCGACGCAGATGGGCTTTAATTCTGCTTTTAAGAGGCGCATGGCCGGGGTGGCATACTGGACTGCATCAGAATCTTACAATAACACAAACCAAAGTCTACATAATAAAGGTTTGGATTGCCAATCGATCGGAGTGGATGCACAATATTGGACACATTTAAAATGTTGTGTCTAACCCTTTGGTATTTCTAATAACTAGTAAATAGTCACTTTATAGGATGTGTGCGGTTTATTTGTTGAATCATGTTTTGTATGCAATGCAGCGTGGTCTGGCCTCTCCTACACATGTCCAACGTTTATACAAGCTGCAATGTTTGACCGCACAGATGGAAGGTTAGCTGAAGGTGGATGAGGCATTGTTCAATATGTGGCTGACCAAAGGATGTGTTGATGTTGCAGAACATGGCTACCACAACATGACCTTGCATATGCTAGAAAACCTTGTATCAAACCGTGATAATATAATTTACCTCATGAAAGTGCAGTGTAATTTGCCTGCAGGCTTTTTTGAATCAGAAGATTGATTGATTTAAATTCCACTTCAGTTCTGGAGTCAACTTCAGTCTGTTAACCATGTTGATTGTTGCTGAACTTGTATTAGATGTTCATTTATGTTTAGTGTAGAGTAACTAAACAGGTATCACAGCCTGGCTTTCAATCACACTACGAGCGCCTTTCAGCACAGATGAATCTTCTCAAAAGAAAACAGTAGGTTTGATCCAAGCAATGCCGTCTATCACAACCAATTGTTTGCCATTATCCCCACTTGTCTGCCATTCAAATTTCCTTGAAGGGAACGCAGAAAAGAATGTTCTCAGCATCGGGGGATCCATGGCGTCAGTGAAGTGTGATTCCTCCCGGAAGCTCCACGGGGTACAGTTGTTTCCCCTGAATACAAAAGACGTCGGCATCACAAGCCCGGCTGCGGCATACCTCTAGCTGACGAAAGCAGCCGCAGCTGTCAGCGACATCACTCACGGCGCGCTCCCACCCTCCCGACTCCGCCACCGCCTATTCGAACCATCCCGTCGGAATAGAAAATAGTACAGGCCTACGTCTTTTTTGGAAACGTCTGGGTGTGAAATTTTGCATGCCGAAGCCACAGCCACCGAAGGCTGTTGAAACAGAAGCGCTTTGAGCTCAAACTGTGTGATGTTACCAAGCCACAGACTGCGCTTTCATTTGCAAAGTATGTTACGCTTTACCTCTGGCTGCACAGATCATTTCAAGTTGAAGAGGAGGGAGGGAAATGCGGCAGAGAGATGCCCTTCAGCGTGTTGCTTTTAGGAGCAATTATTTGTGTCATGCATGCTTTTTGAATAAGATGTTAGTGTTAATAAAATGACCGCGTCAAAAATGACAGTACCCTGAAAAAGTATTGGGCCATGGGCATGGCCCATGGTCTCTATTGTGCTAGCTCAGAGGATAAGAAGGCAGCATCCATTTTTTCCTTAATGAAGTTAGTGACCCTTTGAAAGGTGACACATTTACCACCCGGGGGATTTATACACTCCTGCTCCAAGGCTCCAGTTCAATATGGAGAGGACAGATTTGACTCCATGTGGGCACTCTAAGTATATCCTCACAATTTATACCGGGTGATTTATTTTCAGACACTGCTCTTAAAAAGTTGACAATGTGTTATCTACCCGCGGGCACAGCGGAATACAAAAAGAAAAGTTTGCTGGGCCGTTTTTCAACAATCCAGATAGTTGCGGGAGGTCAAGCTTCTGTCACTTACTAATAACTAACTGATAATCAGAATATTCATTTAAATTTAGTAGGAATCAAACAATAAACAAGACGGCGATGGCGGCAAAGGGGATGTTTTGTGTAATCGAATTACATGGAGCATGCAAAACTTGAGCGCATGAAAGAATAGCCATCCCCGTGTACTCGGGTCTAAGAACACTTTATTATTCATAGCATCCTTACTTATGCAAATATACTAAATAATTTCTACATGACAGCTTGAAGCTGATGCCTGGAGGGGGCAATGTGATGTTTGAGTGAGGACCCCGCTCTCCTTTGCGTGGCCTAGGAAACATAACACCGCAGGCTCCTGGTTGCCTCGGTGCCCGCTGTTTTACATTCTAATTATCTGGCTTGACAGGCTTTATTGCTGAGACTCAATGCTGAGGTCTCATCCCAGACTCATTCCACATGTGATGCCAATGCCGGGATAATGAGATAAGATAGTTTGAGTGCTTAGGCTTGCGCAGTTGCCTCCTCGTTCACTTTTTTAAGTTTTGTCTTCCCTACCTATGCAACCTGAAAGCAGACTCTATTCAGCATGTATATTAAGTCTATCTTATAATGCCAAAGTTTGGATCCCGGGGTGATGGGATTTCTTTCCTCACCACTTGTTGAATGAGTTTTCTTATTTGTTTAGATTTATTTGGGATTTGAGATCAGAAGGGTTTTAGGTGCGCCACATTGACAGTGATTAAAATAAACAAGGCTTTGTTAAGGTGTTCATTAAATATTTAACACAGCAAAGCCAATACAAGACAGAAGCTAGACCTTTTTTTAAACTCTAATTAAGCTACAGGGAATTGCTTGCGTAGATAAACAGATAGAGTCATGGGAATACCAATGGAAATGACATGCTCTGTTGGGGTTTATCTTTTTAAAAGATGAAATGAAACATTTATTACTGACTTTAATTTCTTTACATCGCCGACATTGTGGGTCAACTGCTGATAAGATGACAACTTTCTTCTACTCACATCATGATTTGTGACTTAATGCAGCGCTCTGCAGTATAATGGTAAAATTGTTGTATTCGAACTGCACTCTCTGTATGTTCTGAACGGTTTGATTAACTTTGGTGTTTTTTTTTTCCTTCTCTTTTCACAGCTATCGAGGTGAACCTACAGAAAGCCTTGGCCGAAGCCTCTGAGACCTGTACCCAGGAGTGTCTGATACTGGGCCACTCTGACAGCTGCTGGATGCCCCCAGCCCTGGCCCAGTTCCAGGGTCCTGGCAGCAGCAGCCCCACCTCCACCCCAATCGCCACCGCCATCAGCGGCACAATGCCATCTTTTGGCTTCCAGCAGAGCTGTGCCCGGGGAGCCAAAGTTAACATGGTCAGCATGGAGGTCATGGACGGCCGCCATACCCTGGGCAGGTCCGTCCCCAAAAAAGATGAACTGGACAAAGGGATCAATCGGCCGCAGTTCTACAACACCTTAGATAGACACTGCAGTAAGAAAGAAGACCCCTTCAAGGTCATCCCCCTGGCGAGCTTCTCCTCTCCTGGGCAGCAGACGCCCACTGGGGGGGGCAGCAGCTCTTTCTTACATGAGCACCAGTTGTAAGAGGAAAAGACAGATCGTCATCGCCCTGACATACATATGACTCAATCTACAGATGACTGGTTGTCAGTGACGTTATGATCATTGTGTGTGCGCGCGGGTGAAGGGATGCATGATTTGAATTGACCAGCTCAGTTTTACTAATGACTACGGTTGAGAACGGATTCGAATATGATGATGTTGTTCAAACATATATGTGGGGTCAGTCTTACAGCTAAAGCATTTGAAAGGTAATGTAACTAACATAGAACACCCATGTAAATTAAATAAAGGTGGTTCTATGCCAAAATCAAAAAAAAGAAAAAAGAAACTCCTTTCAGTACGGTGGTGTTTGCTTGGTGACGAGAGGTGGGGAATGTACGCCTCAAGCCCCTTGGGCCCTGCTCAGTGGGCTCAGGGGACTGACCCGTCATTTGCGCAGAAACACTCGCAAATAATGTACTTTGTGTTGAGTGAGCTAAATCATGCTGACCGTCAATTTTGAGCTGTGGGTGGATAATGTTGCTCTTGAAGGTCTGATAAAGTATTGGTCTGTACAACACACAGTACAAACTCTTTTGGTGGTGGAGGATTTCTCTTTTTGTCTCGCATGAATGTGTTTCAGAAGTCTATTTTGGTCAGGGACTGCAGGAGCATTAAAAAACTGTCTACAAAGCATAACTAGGCCAATGGTAGACAACACCGGAAAACTTTTACACTCTACATTTTCACCATGGATCGACACAGAAAATATGAAAGAAAAGAAAAACTCCTACACATCCACACACTTAGCAAGGATGTTTTTTCCAATGGTGGTTGCTTCATCTCTGCCAACTCCATTAAGAAAATGTTCACTCCTGGCATTATCTCAGCAGCTTAGCCTTGAAAGATTAGCACTTTGGAAAAACACACTTTATTTCCTTCCCTTGTTTACTTGTCTCACATTTTGCTGCTCAGAAACACTGACATTAATAACGGCTATTGAGCCAATTATGAAATTCTCACTCTAATTACTTTGATGTGTGATCTCAGCAGCGACCCTCATTGTGGTAAGAAATCGTTGGCTAGCAAGAAACATGCGAGGCCTGTGCGCAAAAGGGGACAAACGCAGAATAGCAGCTTCAAACGCTCCTTCTCTTCCAACCCTATCATTGATAACAGCTTTTGCCCGTGCTAATAATTACTTTATGTGTTTTTTCATGCAACTCACCCCGGCAACAAATTTCCTTTATCAGTTTTACTGTGTTGGCGCTGAAATAATAGAAAATGGAAAAATGGCCTCTGGGCCAAAAGTCAAACTAAATTATTAACGTTAATGCTCTTTTTGTAGTTCTCATAAGGTTTAGCATTGGCACCATTTAAAAAGACTTCCCCTCACCATAGTTCCTTCATACATGCACTGCATCACTACCTTTTTTAAAATTATACTGATGATGATAACTACTTCTGACTAGCTTGTTGACGTAACAGATTGGGGGCAGTTTAATCTATTGCCTGAGCAATAAGGGAATATGCTGATGTGCATTTTTCTTTTAAGTAGCATCCAAGCCAGGTGTTCAAATCATCAAGTATGTGATTGATGCAACTCATTTTCTTGAACCATCTTGCAAATTAGGAAGAGCCCTAAATCTATAATGCAACCCGGCATATGTGAGGGAAAGCGCTAGGGAAATTGTGTTTGCATGCTCTTAGGTACCACACCTTTCTCTCTGGTACTTAGGGTCAGAACTCGTCTTATTATAAAGAGGATTTAGCCGGTGAAATGATCGCTTAAAGTAACAGCGTATCAAGGACATGGAAAATGAGCAATTATATTTCCCCTTAGTCAATTACAAAAATGTATTCAATTCAAAACAAGCATTTTAAAAGCATCCTCAAACACTGCTTTATTAAAATGACCTTGTTTGGGGATTTTATTTCATTGTATTTGCTCTTTTTTACTATATTGCTTTCCATCTAATTTTGTTGTTTTAGTACAGACATATATCACCAAATGGTGTAAATTACACATATTTACTGGTGTCACTGAAAATGGAATTTTATTACTTTCACAAATGGAAACCCAACACTTACAACAAAATGTATTATTTCATTCTCTGTTTTCTATCAAAAAAGAAGGGCAAAGAAATTCCAGGTATTGATTAAAAAAATCTGGAAAAATAACAAATTCACAAACAATAAGGACAGACAAATTGCTGTTCGAGTGTTTATAGATTTGACACAAGAAATACATACAATTATACATCCCAGAGGGAGATAATAACAATCAAATATGTCTAATCTAATCACAATGTAGTACAAATGTGATTGTTTGTAACGATGAATCCATACGTGTACAGTGAGCACAATGTTACCTATCTATAACTATCATTTATTTCCACTTATTCTGCCCACAGAATAATCTCTTCTTGATTCCTAATGATTCCTGATAACTTGTGTGTATTGTAATGTTGCAGCAGCTACATTGATTGAAAGAGAACCTTTAAAGCGAATAGAATGTACATCTGTATGTTGTTCGTTTGGACACCAACGTCACTTTTTTTGTCTGCTGCTTGTCCCACTTTATTCTACCATTTACTCTCCGAGAGGTAAAAGTACATTTTAAATTAGATATTATACGTCAAAAAAGGAGCAAACAAACAGCAACTTGAAATAAATTCGGAGGGCAATGACGGGTTCTCACTTTGCACGATTCTTCTCTCCCTTTTATTTTTTAATACGTTTTTCTTAATTCTTTTTGCCCTAAAAATGAAGATAGTATACATACATCTTTTTTTTTAATTTTTGTCTTTTTTTTCTAATCAAAATGTGTAATTACCATGTCAATTTGTGTCAATTTGCATGATTTGTTTGGACCTCCACAACGCAACACTTGTAGTTCATGCATCAATCATTAGATTCAGTGTCAGTATTGGTGTTTGTGTGTCTTTGGAACAAAACAAATGTTACAGTGTGCACATTCCGACTTTGTAAAATGTGCGTACCACTTTTGCCTCTACGTACACACAATATCTACCCTGTCAGGTAGACTGGATTTTAAACTGTAAATAACAGTATCCCGAAGAATTAACACAACATTGATGAACTGGACAAGACAAATATAGTTAAGACTAAAGGCTGAAGGAAAAATACTTGAAGTCGCTATATTGATTTAAAGGAAAAACGGAAAACATAAGTGATGAGATGACAATCTCTCTTGTAATGTAAATGGTTACATACGCATATTATTGCTGAGAGTGTGTTTGAATGTGTTTATAGGTGATTGTGTATGCGTGTGAGGGAGACGGTTTGTTTCTCTTTGCATGTATGAGCGTGTGTATGTGCACATTTGTGTGTACTGGCATGCACCTGCCAGGATATTGTATGTATACAAATGTATCTTGTACAAAATAATATTAAAATATGATAGAAGACTTAAGTATATGCTTGTAAATTAGTCATCAGTGAGTCAGGTCAAGTTTTGCTTTGAAAAGAGGCTTCAATCCTTGCCCGGCAAATCTGTATTGGTCCGTTAAAGCTATACAGTCTGTGTTGTCATGCCTTTGTAAGATATCCCATTTAAATCTATGAAAAAAATGACCTTCAATATGGTAAAATGATTTTTTCTTGTCATTGAATTTTACTTGAGCCATTAAATATCAAGTCCTCAAATTATGCACGTATCCTGCTTGTCCTTCACTTTACATTGTTGTTTCATCAGTTTTTTCTGAGAGCATTGTCGTATCAGTGAAAGATGTGACATCGGAGCATACTGTCACTCTATTCCAATTATAGCAATTACAAGCTAATGATGTAAGACCCATCAAATTGGACATGGCATTTCACCTTCATGTCTAAAAATGAACAGCGCAGGGGCAACAACTCAATCTATGACATATGACATATATCTACATTTATGGGAAAAGAACAAAATACTTAACCCTTGTTAAATACAATAAGGAGTACAACTTTCAAGGAAAATATCAGAGAGGGGGGTTTGCTTTCGCATTTCCAACAAAGGAAAAAATTTGTCTCACAATATATCTCCTTTGAGGTCGCTAAGTTTTAAAGATGATCCGTGTGGGTTTTCATATTTTCTCAATAGGAAAATACAATTTAAAATGTTTGTAAACTTTACATGTAAAGTTTACAACCAACCACTGGTCAACCAACCACTGATTTAAAGGTAATATATGTAGTCCCCTGGTGACCTTAGGACTATAGTCATACTTTCAAAACTAGGTGCCTGCCTATAAAAAGAAAAAGTAAATGTTTATTTTACATTAAATACATAATAGGGGACACCTGACTTCTAAGTGGGGAGATGTTTATTTGTCGTGATTGGAGTAATGTTTGTCATAGTGATGAATACTAATGTTAAGTTCATATTTAGTTAAATAATATCTCCAGAGGCTTTAGGCCGTTAGCCTTTTAGTACTTACTGTTTGTTACCGTATTATTGGTCAGTTGTGTATTCGCGCTGTATAGCCAATGGTGATTGGTTGGGAGAACAACGGGGAAGACACGTGACTGGAAAGTTCTGGAAGTTTTTGGGGTTTCGAGGAGGAGAGAAGAAGTCGTGAAGAGACGGGACGCCGGCGTTTTTGGGGAAGAGAAAAAGACGCTAGCAGGAGACAAGAAGGCAGAATAAACCGGCGCGGGAGGCTGGAAGGAGTGGACCGCGGACTCTGTGTGTTTGTGAGCCTGGAAACGGAGGAGAAACCAAAGCTGAAACCCCGTCGGACGGAGCGGGGGAGAAGCAGCGGAGGTCGCCATCGAGGGAGCCGAGCTAGCTAGCCACGGTGGGCGTGGCCGGGCGGACGTGTCGGTGACTCGCATCGCGGACCCGAGTTTCCACGCTCTCAATGTTTTGAAAGTGATTTCGGCGCTCTCAATGTTTTGCCAGACCAAACAGGTCTGTAACGTGTTTTCTTTCCGTACATATCGTTGCCGTGAGTAACTGGAACATGTGTGGCTGTGTGTGGTGATTGGGCCCAACACCGCATCGGCTGATACTTGTTTCATGACACTTGGAGGGGAAAGTTTTTGTTGTTATTGTTGAACTCTGGTATTCTCCGAGTTGAGGAACGGGAACATTTCGAACATATATTTTGATGTAACGTCCTTGATACTATTGGGTTTGTATCACTGAATTTGGAGTTTATTATTTATGTTTTGGGGAAGTTTTGGTTATTTATTTTTCTCTATTTGGTAATATTGGGTTTTGGGGGAAATTAATTATTGTATTTAAATAAACAAGGGCGTTGCCCTATTTATTTTACTTTTGTTAAAAGAACATCCATCTCTGGGTCTCATTTATTTTTTAAATAGCTTCTTGCTAAAAGGTTTTACGATACATCGAACCCAAGCACCCCCCATTCTCACGTGAGTGACTCACAGAGTGGTGATACGGGTGCTACATATATACAATTATCAAAAACCTGTGTCTGTTGTTTTTCTGCCTCTAACTGATTCTGTTGGTGTGGCAAGAGAACCCCCCCCTCCTACGGCAACATTGACATAGTATCATCTTAAAAATGTCCGTAACTTCATTCATTTGGATTCCTGGCCTCATATGATGCAATTAGTGGTTTGATCCATTACATTTGTTGTTTCCATCACAGTATATCTTTTACAGACTATGACAACTCAGGTATGTTTTAAACATTGCAGCTGTAATACATTCTTTAGAAAGAAACAGATACTTCTGAAGTCAAAATCTTGTGTCGCTTTACCGCAAATTTATGTGATCAAAAGAATAAATGAATAATTTGGCCTTTAGAATGTGGCACAAAGCACCTTTGAGGGTTTCTGTTTAGGAAGGGCAGAACACTTATCGATCCCTTACTACATATTTAAATTGGTCCAAAACTGTAAATCAATGAGCTTCCCTTTACAAGGTTGCACGTCTCCTCGTTAAACCGCACAGCCGTTACCATATCAGAATAGATCACAGCCCAAAGGAAGTAGCCCATACATTTGAGGGGAAAATCAATACAACACAATAAACCTTCATTTTAGGATTTGGTTTTCTTGGGCCAAGAAGTAAATGTCAGCTTAAGTAAGGAGAAGAAAAATGTGTTGTGACTGCTCAGCTTGTCATCTTTAATTTAATTCAACTTGCATCGTCATATCTCCGTATCGCCAGTGATACCTGGAGGCTGTCCGCTCTACATGTGGCTGCTCAGCCTCATATACAAATAACTTTGCATGTGGCATTTTATTTTTATTTATTTTTTTTACCTTTATGGCAAAAGTTTGTTACACAGCCTATGCTGTGTATCTATTCACTCATCCATCCATCTATGTAACCCACCCATATATCATTCCAGGATCCATCCATCAGTTCCTGAGCTTTGATACCTCAAAGGAAAACTTTGTTTTGACAATCCCCTTGGGCAACGTGTCCTACCTCAGGCCATTCTGCTGCATGCTTTATCCACACTCGCCTTATGAATACACACAAGCCCTCAGACAGGAAAGCTCAAGCTTACAGTATGGTGCAGAGGTTGATGTTCACGACAACAGGACATGACAGGATCCCTTGGCACCGACTCCTAACTCGCATCACAAAGAGCCATGTCATGTACCTCGTAACGAGCCAAAGGCTCGCTGGACTGGGTCATATTGCCGCTTCTTCAGCATATGTCGAGTCCCCAATCAACTTGTGAGACCCGGCTTTGACCTGCCCCATTACATTTCCATGGTAATTGGCTAATAATGAGACAGTGACATTGCAGAAGATGTCCAAACTGTCAAAACACATGCATACCAAACTACATTTCCAGCAATTACTGCATATTTGAACAGAAAGTACTTTGCGCTCTTTACAGCGCACCCAATGCCTGCGTCTTTTCTCATCCCACATTCCCTCCATCCCAGTGGGCTAACAAGCCAACTTATTGTAAGGCTACTTAGTTCTCAAGGTGTCATCTGTTGAAGTGTCATGAGAACATATAGAGATTGTCAAACAGTACACTCATTTCAAATTGTAATTAAACTGGCCATCAGGTACCTTGCGGCTGTTTAGTCAACAGCAGGTACTAATTACTATAAGATGACCTTTGGAATAATATCTGGTGAATTATTCATTGTTGAGAAAATTGCTTCGGAGGCATGCCAGCGACATCCAAGGGACGGCTGAGTGTACACACAGAAAATTCCGATCAAAGATTTCCGCCTCGCCGCGAAAATGAGATCAGCAGATGGTTAAAAGTGTAACTTATTTTGTACGAGAAAATGAGATGGTTGCTATAAACCCTGAAAGACAATGGACATTTCTTTTGGATTAAAAGGAACGTTACTGACCAGAAAATAGACTGACTCATGTAAAGTTAATGTAAAAGATCTTGTAGGGAGTTGGGAGAGAGAAGATGGTCTTGTCACAGGGAAGCTTAAGAAGCAATATTATTAATTTATTAAATGATATATAAGTTGACACTTCGTTTGAGTGGAGTAAACTCTACTGACTGACAAATGAATGCATGTACTGGTGCTTTTAACATAATTTAACAAGAAATAAGCATTATTTTGATAAGTTAGGTCTTGCTGCTTGCATGAGGGTGAAACTCTGAAAACAGCAACATGAAGAAATATTTTATTTTCTATTTTTTCAACATTTGGGACCCCATTGAGTTGTTCTTTAGGAGAACATAAGAGCTTTCGCATAGGAAATGTATGATGTTACATGAAAGAGAAGACATAAAGACAAAAATGGAAATGCATAGATAAAGTTGAACAAAGCAGTGGCAACATGTTTGGCAAGATTCATCCTTCTGCCGTGATTTTCAAAAACCTCTAACAGCCTCTACTCCCTCCTGCCTTAAATGTTTCTGTGGACTATTCTGCATAGAGAGGCCAGAGGTCTGAGAGTTTATTTCCCATCTCTGCTAAACCTTTAGGGATGCTTTGCAGAAACTACTCCAAGGACCTCCCCCCCAACAGATGAACCTAATGACAAATCTAGGTGATTTGTGGCTAAATCAGTACTGCATATCTACTGCAAATGATTGAAAAGAAAAATATATTCCTTTTTCTTCTTGTCTTTTTTCCAAGACCGGCTCCTTCAGAGTTAACGTATCTCTGTTACGGAGGCACATGTAGTCACCCAATGGACTGAACACCATTACAATGATGTTAACCATATGGCATGGCCCTCTGAATAGCCTCATTCAGCGTGATCTCTGTATGGTATTTATAGGAGGAAAGAGGGTCAGGGAAAGCTCTCTTCACTGCCATCACAGAAGAAGCAAATGATTAGCAAAAATTTGGGGTAATTGGTGGCAATTAACAATGACCTTCTCCCCTTGGACATTAGAGAACCAAAGCCGTGCCAGAAATTGTCTTGACGGCATTGGAGAGAAAGGAGACAGCAGACGATACAGAAATGTATTTCTTTTTAGCTGCATTTGTCATTATTTTTTATTTTCTATTTGTTGTTTTGGTAACTCTGTCCTCTGTTTATTTCATGACAATATTGGTCATAGAGTTTTTTACTTCTAAGAATATGACATCAGACCCAACGCATATACATTTCAGTACATTCATCTACACACTGACAGCTCTTTATGGCATTACCAGAACAGCTGCTTTTTGAACCAAATGTTTGAAACACGTTTGTTGATGTTGAGCAGACTAGTGACAATGTTCACTGATCACATATATATGAAGTATAC